GAAGGTTAAGGTAAAGTCCGCTAAATATCCATAGGTTTGGGACCGCTGCTGCAATTATCTCTTAAACTTATCTAGGGCCTATTTTGATGAAGAATTTGTGGAAAATGATACTTATTGAGAGTGTGGTATTAAAAATTATGAAAAATTTGTGGATCCAGGTGAAATTATCTTATAGGAAGAATATGGCTGAAAAAAAGTTTGAAAAAAAATCAATTTTAAAGAATTTGTACCAAATAGGGGCCTAATTTGATCTATATCATCAAAACAATTGCCTCGAACCTTGAACGAAATTATCGAACCACTTGGCAGCATCACATTGGCCAACTTCCATTCTGGAGCTCCAATCTAATTGCACAACTATCGCTAATACCCGAAAAAATGACTCCATCAACGCCAAATTTACTTGCCAACCAATCCTCATCTATAGGTGGGCATGAGAATAAGCAACTGCTTGCAATGCCCAATCATGTTTTTTGCTGACCTTCTGCATTGTAGCCGAGAGAAGCTAAGGGCCTAAATAAATGTCCTCGGTTACTAGTTTTATGGTAGGAAGAGATATGGATGTTGGTGAAGGGAAATTGTAAGTGTTATTCCTTAGGTTCAATTGATTTTGACATCGCTAGATAGATCCAGAAGATTGCTTGACCTTCCTAATTTATATAGATAAAATCTTAAGAATATTTTATATGGAAAAAATGAACTAAGAATTCATTGGTACACTGATATTAACTTCCAGTCAAACTAGGATGATAATGAATCTCAATCTGATATGTGTTTAATCTTAAAAATGGAGTGGTTAGTTGGAAATGTTCTAAAAAAGAAATAACCGTTGATTCAATATTAAAAAATCAATACATCATTGCATCAGAAGCAACAAAGGTTACGGTTTGGATTAAAAAGTTCATCAATGAATTTAGAGTAGTTCCTAACATTGTTAATCACATATTTCTATATTGTGATAACAATGGAGCCATCACACAAAAGAAGAAACTAAGGTCTAATTAATAATCCAGACGTGTTAAGGTGATATCATCTTATCAAAGAGACAATATAAAGAAATGACGTAAAGAAAGAATGAGTTCTCACAATTGACAATATTGCAGACCCATTGACAAAGATGTGTTGCAGGATAAACATGATCACCATGTAGACTATTATGGTATAAGATATACAAGTGATTGGATCTAATGCAAGTATGAGTTTGTAAGTGTTATGGTCTAGGTTTAATCAATTTTGAATATATTGATGCATTTTATTTATGGCATATATATTATTTAATTGAATTAATATTATAATAAATTAAATAATAGAGTCTGCAGATTCAATTGTTGGTAACTTTTTAATCACAATGGGTTGTAATTGTGAGATACAAATTATATATGATCGAATCTTAAATTATTTGTGGCCGTAAGTAATATCAAGATGGAATATACGATCATGTGTGGCATTTCTTTCTTTTGAATTAAATAGTTGATCTCACAAACTAAAGTATTGTGACATTTAAATGAACACGTGAATATTTTATTATAACAACAAAACATTGAAGAACCACTGGAGAGATTCCACATTGATA